ATAGATAGATAGATAGATAGATAGATAGATAGATAGATAGATAGATATAAGATGATGGATGAAATAGATAGATATAGACAGACAGACAAAGAGAGATGATGGGTCAGATAGATGAGAGATGGATGGATGGATGGATGGATGGATGGATGGATGGATGGATGGATGGATAGAATAAAAAGAAAGCAGCAAAGCACCATACTCTGGCTTCCTAATTGCTTGCAAGAATGCCTTGGGATCCATAAAGGTCCCACCGGGTTGATATAAATCCCTTTGGGCTGTTAGTTTACTTCTGGTAAATGGGTGTTTTATGATTGGCCATGCCCACCATGGCTTCTTTTTAATGAATTGGCAAGTCCCCCATTGCAGCCATTTTGTGGGTGTATCTACCTTATATTTTCAAAATGCCAATGCTCCCCAAGCTGAAAGCATTTTATTTACTTGCGGTATGCAGCAATGAAAGAGCAGAAATCAATTGATGTTAATATCGGGGAACGACCCTAGATTATATGTTCCACAGTCTGTCTTGGAGATTAAGTGGCACCTGTTCCTTGTCACTTTCAATCCCTAGTGCTCAATGAACATCTCAGGGCAATGCTGGGCAGCTTTAAGAAAAAAGTTTGCGTGCATCACATTTCTTTTAAGCAGAAAACCAAATGGTTGCTGAGAGACTGCCCATTGTATAATTCTGCATGGTGACTATGTTGCCTTGCACTTGGGTTGGTATGTTCCTCTGCTTCCCTTTTGTATGTGATATAATCTCTTCATCAGTTATTCACAGCAAATACAGCAGAATTACTCATCCTTGAAGGAGGCTGACAGCTACAGTTTTTTTCTCTACCACCATTTTAGAGTCGGGTTTTTTGGCTCCAAAGATATGTCCGAAAACAAAACCATCCACCCTGAATGTGATAATTGTGTTTCGGCATGTTGTGTACACTTATAAAACAAAACAGAACACATAGCAAGTGATGTGTGTGGATGTGGATGCGTAATAGTAGTTGAAATTGTAGCTTGCTATTAGGAAACAGGAGTGAAGATTATTACTGTTTGAGCGATGAAAATCTCTCCACTGGAGTTGCTTAGTGGTACCAAAAGAGAATTCCATTAACATAAATACTAGCTTTAGAAAAGACATACTAGCAAGATAATAGTAAAAGGGGAAATAATTAAATGTCTGTCCCAATGCGCAGACATATCCAGCAAAAATATACTAGAACCAAACACATATATATTTAATTTTACCCTGAGGACCATTAAACATTACTCTTATATATATATATTTTTCTTTTTATGATCCTGAATCCCTTTATTCAAGGTAGAGTCAGTGTAATTGAATGGAACTGAGTATTTTCTGGTCGGATGCCCTTCCTGACACCTATACAAAGTACACAGCAAACATTTTCTCTTTGTGACCTGATAGAGAAACATCTATCACTGCCTCGGATTGAACTCTCAACTTTCCGAATGAGAGGCAAGGGTTTTTACCTCTATGCCAATACACCACTCAAACATTATTCTTACATTTAGCAAAGTAAATTGTTTCAGATCTAGAAACGTGTTGTAACTTGTATATGACCATCACAAAATCAATCGCAAACTTTTCTGTTCATATTTTAATTTTTCAACAGGCTCTTTAAATAGGGTTTTAAAAAGTTGCCTCTCAGTGTTCAATACGCCCTTGAATAATAATAATTATGAATAATTATGAATTCTTGCATTTTCATTTTGAAGAAAATAGAGCCTTCCAGTGCATACTTTTTAGAACTCGAGCTAGGAGCCCAAATCCTTGAATCTTACTCAAGGAGCCCATATGGGATGTAAAGTAACAGCTAACTGCTTTTGGAACTAAAAGGAAGTTTCAACAACCAATTGGGATATGGGAATCAGCTATTTAAACAAACAAAAAGCAAAAACAAGTTACAATGTGAATGAGCTCCTTGAATCCTGGCCAATGTAAACATCAAATGATATGACAGAGGGAGGGGAGCTGAAAACTAAACAGGTTTCTTTGTTCAGATTCTGGGATGAAATGCCACAGGACAAATGATTTGCAGAATAAACATTGTCAACAGTTGGGTAATTGATAAAATCTCAAGTGGATATTGATTCAGGCATTAATTGTATTTGCCAGGGTTTCATAGCAGCACTATTTGTTTCAATGGGAAAACCTTGTTGCTTAGGACTTGTTACCCGAGGAATTGAGCCATACACAAATTAAGAATTAAGAAAAAAAAATAGGGCAATGCATAAAGTAGTTATGTAAGTGATGAAGGGACTGTAATCTTTCATCTGATTAAAGTTGTATGTGTCTGTGATTATAAATGTTACCTAATCAAGATTAAGACTAACCTCTAGATACGTTCTTTCTGTGAGAAATGTTTCTGCCCTAACGAAGATAGTTGTGATTTTTCTAAGTTGAAAGAACTCGTGTGCATGACATGCATACACAACTTAATAGACGTCTGTATAATCCCAATTGAACTCAATGGCGCTTATTTCTGATTCATGGTATTATGATTAAAGTAGTTTAATAGCCATCTCTCCTTCTCAAAACACTCAGAATTGTAGAAGTATATTGGGGGCTATGAGAACCAGTATACTGAAGTGGTTAAGGTATCAGGCTAGAAAAGGAGAGTCCGACAGTTCTTGTACTGCTGTAGACATTCAAAGCCAGTTGGGTGATCCCGGACCAGTCCTCTCTCTCAGCCCTAGGAAACAGGTAATCGCAAACCACTTCTAAAAAAAACCTTGCCAAGAAAACTGTAGGGACTTGTCCAGTCAGCCACTGGGACTCAACACTGACTCACTCACAGGCACAATAAAAAAAAAGGGGGGGGGGGGGGGCGGAAATGGTTGGGTGCCATAGATTTGTAACTGAGATTTAGGGTCCTCTCCAATCTTCAATTCACAATATTCACTCCGGGGAAGCTATGAAAATGTACACAGTATGCTAAGACTGCTTTTCTTTCTTAGTATAAGTATGCTTACTATCACTTACAAATTATAACATAACAGAATAGCAGAGTTGGAAGGGACCTTGGAGGTCTTCTAGTCCAACCCTCTGCTCAAGCAGGAGATCCCAAACCATTCTAGATAAATGGCTGTCCAGTCTCTTCTTAAAAGCCTCCAGTGATGGAGCCCCCACAACTTCTGAAGGCAAAGCTGTTCCACTGGGTTTTGCTCTAAGGAAATGTCTCCTTAGTTCTAGGTTAGTTCTCAGGAGAAATTGACTGCAAGCATGAATTAAAGGACAAAAGACTGTATGAATGCTATTGGTCTTACTAGTCTTGTTAGAGAATAAAATACAGTAAAGACATAAAGCCATGTTGGTGGTTTCCCACTTCCACCTGAGTTGCTATTATCCTAAACGACTATATGAAAGGTTTCAAACCTTCAACACTAAATACTGCAAAGCAATTCATTTTTGAAATCTAAAGTACCATTAATACCGAAATCACAAGTACTTTGCTCAAAAGTAATTGTAACTTATATTGGTGCCATAGAAGAAGATACAAGATAAATTAAACTGCTGTTTTTGAATTATTCTATAGCATTAGACAGTTGAGAATAATAGAGATCTAAGAAGATGAGTTTTAGACTTCCAGAAACTGCTTTCAGAAAAAAAAATATGACAGAATGTGTAGAATGAAAGAGAGAGGAAGAGGAAGGCGAGAGAAAGAGAGGAAGCAGGGGAGAATGTTGACTGGTTGACTTCCTTCTGATGTCACAATTCATCGCATCTCAACCAGTAAGTCGTTCCTTCACAACTTCAGAGGATCTTACAAGGAGGTGAGATCATTTTGATGACAGGGGATTTAGCCAATGTTTTAAGTTGTTTCAACGAATGTAAT